TTTTTGTCATGCTATACTATGACTTTTTTTATCATGCTATACTATGACTTTTTGTTATCATGCTATAGTATGACTTTTTTTATGATGTTATACTCTGACTGTTTTTATCATGCTACACTATGACTTTTTTATTATGCTATGCTATGACTTTTTTTTTACCATGTTATACTTTGACTTTTTTTATCATGTTATACTATGACTTTTTTATCATGCTATACTATGATTTTTTTTATCATGCTATACTATGACTTTTTTATCATGCTATACTATGACTGTTTTTATCATGCTATACTATGAAGTTTTTTAACCTGCTATACTATGACTTTTTTATCATGCTATGCTATGTCTCTTTTATCATGTTATACTATGGCTTTTTTACTATACAATACTATGACTTTTTTATCATGCTATACTATGACTTTTTTATCATGCTATACTATGACTTTATTATCATGCTATACAATGACTTTTTTTATACTAAACAATGACTTTTTATCATGCTAAACTATGACTATTCAATCATACTATGCTATGTTTTTTTTTGTCATGCTATACTATGACTTTTTTATCATGCTATACTCTGACTTTTTATCATGCCATAATATGACATTTTTTATCATGCTATACTATGACTCTTTCATCATACTATACTATGGCTATTTTATCATGCTCTCCTATGACTTATTTATCTTGCTATACTATGTTTTTTTTTTAAAAAACGCTATACTATTACGTTTTTATCATGCTACACTATGACTTTTTATAACATGCTATACTATGACTTTTTATAACATGCTATACTATGACTTTTTTATCATGTTATACTATGATTTTTCTATCATTCTATACTATAACTTTTTATCATGCCATAATATGACATTTTTTATCATGCTATACTATCACTTTTCTATCATTCTATACTATGACTTTATTATCATGCTATACGATGACTTTTTTCATACTAAACAATGACTTTTTTATCATGCTATACTCTGATGATTTTTTATTATGCTAGACTGTGACTTTTTATCATGCTAGACTGGGACTTTTTTGTCATGCTATACTATATTTTTTTTATCATACTATGATATGACTTTTTTCACGTTATACTGTGACTTTTTTATCATACCATAATATGACATTTTTTATCATGCTATACTATGACTCTTTCATCATACTATACTATGGCTATTTTATCATGCTCTACTATGACTTATTTATCTTGCTATACTATGTGTTTTTTTTAAATGCTATACTATGACTTTTTTATCATGTTATACTGTGACTGTTTTATCATGCTATACTATGAAGTTTTTTAACATGCTATACTATGACTTTTTTATCATGCTACACTATGACTTTTTTTATTATGCTATACTATGAAGTTTTTTAACATGCTATACTATGACTTTTTTATCATGTTATAGTATTACTTTTTTATCATGCTATACTATGACTTTTTTTTACCATGCTATACTATGACTGTTTTCATCATGCTATACTATGACTTTTTATCATGCTACTGTATACTACGACTTTTTTTAACATGCTTAACTATGACTTCTTTTCATCATACTATACTATGACTTTTTTTAATCATACTACACTATGCCTTTTTCTTTTCATGCTTTAATATGACTTTTTTATTGACATATTTATATCATAGTATACTTTGGCTTTAAGCCAAATATCTGTAATAACTTCCTGTTTCTATGACAAACTACAACATAACCTTTCCTGTCATCATTTGCAGATGATAAGATGCTAAATGGACAGTTCACCCCAATATCAAAATTGTACCTCTTACCTGTAGTGCTGCTTCTCAATGTATATTGCTTTTGTGTGAGATGCCAAATGTTGCAGAAATCGGGAAGTGTTTGAGAGATGTCTGCCATTTCTCAAATATAATGCAAAACTCAACAGCAGTGTCTCTTCTCAGAAATCATGATCCGGTTACTGAAGATGATCCACAGACCTTGTTGTGAGCTTTTTCAATTGGCAACAAAAGTTCACCCACTGACTGTATCACTGTGCAGAATGAGGCATGCATCTATTGCTATTTCACCTAGCACCACTGAGCTAACTAATGTACAGCTCAGCCGAGGAGGACACCATTAATGTTACATCTCGTGCTGTTATAGGCATAAGGCTCTCGTCCATAAGTAGATGCACGCTACCTTCTGTGCAGTGATACAACTGCCTGTGAAGCTCACCAGTTGATATATCATTCATACATGTACCTTGTTTGTTTCATTGTACAAAAATCAAGATGTAAAAACAACTATGTGTGAGTTATGTGCTGGAAATATTTTTAATATCAAGCAAATCCCTTCTAACATGTTTAAACTGTACTTAAAGAACTATCATTAAAAGTAAAACAAGTCCTCACTACACTTTGCTGTTGAAACAGTTATGTAGATGATGTTCTATCACCAAAAGCATGCTTATTACACTGTATGTTAGGTAGGAGTTTTACACAGTCTTTAATCTGACTCTGTGTGACTCTGCCTGAATCTGCATGCTAACATTAGAGATGCATCTGATGCTAGTCCAGGCTGTGTTGAGGTGCCTGTTACTTCAAACCCCTGTTGCTTGTTAGATTTCAGAGCAAAGGCTGAACACAATTAATGTACTGTAGTACAAAGAAACATCAGACAGATGACACCAGTGTCAGTTTAATTTTTCACATCTCAGTCAGTCATCTTGTTGTCTTTTCTTTCTTTACTTTTCAAGGTGTTTTGGTGAAGACACTTGTATTACCATCCCAGACATCGATGCAGTGGTGATGGTGTTGCAGCCCAGTGAGCCCAGGATAACCATCACTGGAGTGGAGAGACTAAACAAGCCAGTCTCAGACCTCAGAGCATCAGGAGGCGTAGCCCTTTTCCAAGACCTCCACATCATCAGCACAGTCACCAGGGCAGATGCCATCACACATCATGCAGGTATGGACTGTTACATGGTGGTGACCTCAGGCAATAGTTCAAAACAAGTGAAGAAAAATCTGTATCAACAGCACTAAAAGATTTGGTCTGGGAGTGGGAAGCCAGTGAGGGATCAGCATATTATTGCAGCATTCAGACTGTGGGGAAAAGGGGAAAAATTAAAAGGCCCAGGGCAGCAAACTTGTAGGGCATAGTATTTTAAAATACTTTTACAGAGTACATTCCCAGTGAGAGGCTCCAGCTCCAAAAGGCAGCAGTCTAAGCTTACCTCACAAGGTGGGAGATGCATACCTCCCTGCAGGTAGAAAGCTGTCTTGACTAAATATTTCAGCAGTTTTTCATATTGATAATGTGTTCACTCATTCATGAAGTCCCATAGCCATGCAGTGCCACCTGTTTCCCTATCAAAACAAACCTCCAGAGAAAGTAAAACACTGCGTAAAGCCTCATGAGACTGCAAATCAGCAACAGTGAGCATTTCTTTCATCTAGTACAGCTGCACGAACTGTGAACTCAACTAAACAAAAGTTTTGCTCTTGCTCTCACACTGCGTCATTCTCTAGCTTGGTGGAATTAAAAGTTTTCAAAACTCCAATAAGGAAGTTACCAATGAGTCCAAGTGATTCACAAGCATGGAAGTATTCAAATGCTTGAGTACAAGTATGAACAGACACAATAAAATACAATATAATCTGAATTTCAAGCATCTCTATCTTCTGTAATGTGACGAAGGCTCTGCCAACTGAGATCTAAATACACACCTCCAACCCATGAAGACACTCTGTAAGCTACCTACAACCATAGACTGTGTAAAATGATGAATGTAGCTACATTATGCCACCCTTTGGTTGTGGACTCCTGTTTGAAGCCTCAAGTTTGGCATTTCAGCTGTCGCCATCTTGGTTTTTAGTAGCCAGAGGTGACTATGTTTGGATGAGAGGGCAGAGCTGTAGAGGAGCAAAGGGTAGATCTGATTCACAGATGTAGCAATGTCTCGCAGACAGCCCGTCACTCAACATTGCCCATCCTTAAATATGTGTAATTTTGGGCCTTGATATAATTAAAATGGGTGAGTTATGTAAAGATTCATCCCCCAAAGTTGGGCATTTAACATGGTTGTCTAAAGAGACTGACTTTGTTTTGGAGCCAGCCTCAAGTGGCCATTTGAGGAACTGCAGTTTTTGGCACTTCCACGTTGGTTTAATTTGTCAGCCCAGGAGGTTCCTGCTTGCCTATAACACATTGTGTAATGGCCAAGGTCAGCTAGTCACCCCAAATAACTTTCCATCAGCCTTGCTGTCGATTAAACAATAAAAAAGCCCCTGCACTTAAAAAAGCATTTCTCTAAGGACCACCAATATAAAAGAGACTTCTGTAAAACTGTTGACAGGTCACCTCCGAGTTTAAACATAATCTCTTGTGAGTAATTTTCATTAAATGAATGCCATCTGGCATGGACTCTGATGTTCAGTTCTTTTATTACATCCATGATTTTTTTTTTTACATATTTGACACAAGGACACTGGATTAAAACTTATTAAAAAAATAATTGATAAAAATGTATTTCACTGTCTTTAAAAGTAAAAAGGTAAGTTTGGCAAACTGCAGTTCAAGTATTAACAGTAAAATTATATTACTGTCCTTTGTAGAAGGGATACTCAACCTGTGGGACACGGGCCGGATCTGGCCCAAGATTCAGTGCCAGGTAGCCCACTCTGTCATTCTGTAATTCACAATGAAAATAAATTGAGTCACACTGATTTTTTTTCTTGTCATATCAATATAAATCAGGGGCCAGGGTGCATTTTTTAAAAAAAAAAAAAAGCATAAAAATAGAGCCTGTTTATCAAAAGGGGAGGACCCTCAAATCCTAGAAAAGCCCCTGCATTCATCTGACCTGTGCAGCGCTGCTGCGACTGGTCATTTTGCGAAAGTGGCCCCCAGGCAAAGCAAGTTCAATATCCCTGCATTACAGTATAGCATTATTATAACTATTGCACAGGCACGTAAGCAGCATTTTAATGATTTAGTTTGTCTATTTTTGTATAATGACAACATCTTTTGTTTGTACAAACTCAATAAGTGACCACTTACTATAGCTTTCATATAACTGAGATGAAGTACAGTATTTTCTCTAATGCAGTGGCTCCCAACTGGTGGGTCGCACTCCAAAAGTGGGTCGCTGGTCCATTCCGAATGGAGTGCAAGTTGCTTGCAAACATTTCATATTTGTAAGAAACCCACTTTACTTTTAAGTACAGTGAATTTTTAGCACAGAGCTTTTATTTTGAAGTGCCATTTTCAGCCGTCGAGTGAGTGACTAACGGACAGCTATTTAACAGAGACAGCAAACTAGCTTGACGACATGGCTGGACGCAAGTGTGACTCTGAATGTTTTTACCTGTGCGGACCTTGAATTAATGATTAAGGAGAAATCTGGACCAGCTGGGAAACACTGGTCTAACGTAATGAAGTAGGAGTAAAAGGAAGAAGTGCTCGTCACAGTCATGTTGAACATGAGTACAAAACTTTTACTTAAAATACATATTTGTACCACTGGTTTGCACTTACAGCTATATTGTAACACTATGAGATACAGTTGAGGACACGTGCCCTTCTCGTCAGCAGTAATCTACAGTGTAAGCTACAGCCTTTTGTTCCATGCAGCTCCGTCGGCCTCGCCAATGTGTTGAGTCAATTTCCTGCTGTACAGTCCCTCCACTCTCCTATCTGTCCCCGTGTGACTGCAGACGCCCTCCTGCTGAGTAAGACTTTCACCTACCACAAGACTGATTCCCAGGGTCACACCGCCTTGACCGTCGCCAAAATGAGTATGACATTTAAATCCCGACGTCTCTAGTCTCGTCCAACGATCTGACCACCGAGGCAGGGACAACCCGCCTCGGCCCTGGGCCCCTGCCGCTGGCGGCCAATTACGAGCAGATAAGCAGAGCGAGAGGGAGGTTTTAGCTCTCCATTGTGTGTAATGCGGCGAAGGAAGAAGAGCAGAAAGTGGCATTGCTTTCAGGAGTCGGTGGAGCTCTTTCTGCTGGTGAAATAGAGACTGCAGCTGGGGGGAAGAGATTAGCTGGAAGCCAGAGAAAGACACAGAAATGGAAAGAAAGGGAAAAGAGAAATGAGGAGAGAGTGTGTGTGTGGGAGAGGGAGGCACGGTGAAGTTCCATAATGAACAGATTTTGTGTTCTCTAGGGGCTTAAAGGATTTCAGATAAATCACATATTTCTTTTGCAGGGCATGCAGTAAGTTTCTTTTGGACCCTGTTAATCACCCCCTCGCCCTCTTCTATGCTTTGTCTCTCTCTGTCATTCATTTGTCTTTTTATTGAGTGTGCTCAGCACTCCATCGCTCCTCTCTCCATCTTTTACTACAGTATATTTTCAAGGCTCACTCCGATGCCTTTACTCAAAGTCAAGGTCATCAATTCTCTTGTGAACTCGTCGTTAATACTCAACATTTTGACCCATGTTCTTTGCAGTCGTCTTCAGTTCTGTCTCGTCTTCTGCTGTGCTTTAGAGTTTTTCTTTAGCTTCCATTTCAGCAGCTCTCCCAGTCTTTCTCTGTTTCTTTTCTCCTCTTTGTAATTCTGTCTAAGGAACCCAGTTCTTTATTTCCATCTCACCCTCAGTGTAGTACAAACTGTTCCTGGGACAGTCCTGCTCTCAGGCTGTACTACTACAGTGTACTAACTTGTGTCAGCTCTTTCTTTGGTTCTCCATTCAAGTCAAAGCAGCATGTAACACCAAGCAGGGCAAAGTACGCACCAGACTGAGGAACAGTCTGTGACAAGCCGCAACTGCAACCATGAATTATTACGATTAAACCAACCAATAAATTGAATAAAAAAAAGCACATAGACTGTTATAATAATATCTTTCCCTCCTGTGGTTTAACATGTAACAGCATGCGTTTTGCAAATGAAAGAAAAATGAAAGAATAAGGTTGAATTTTTGGGAAGGTACATTATATCTTACAGTGAGACAATGTGACCTTTGCTAAACAGCGCCCACTGTGGCCTCAAGTTGTACTTACAGGTTAATGGTACATTTAATTCACCTCCATTTTGTGGTAGTTAGCAGCTTTAAAGACATCAATATCAGGTAATCTGGCCGAGGGAACTGGAACCTAAAGGTGGAAGAGAGAGGCACACCATCAGGTTGTGACTGGTACATTTTCTATAAACTGTAAACCCCCTTAAACCTCCCTTAAAGGCACTACACATTGCACTAACAGAGAGCGGAAGAGCTTGCATGTGCCAGTGACGAGACGGTGAAGCTGCAGCAGCTAGAGCAGAGAGCATGAAGTTAAATGTATTAGTGCAGTGAGTGTTCAGGCTATTTGACTGTAAATAAATGCTACAGCTCCTTAAGACCCAAGTCAAGTTCCTGTATCTTGCTTGCCACCTGAAGGGGGTTAGCCCCAAAGTTAGCAAGCAAAGTTAGCCTCCCATTAGAACCTGACCAAGTGCACTTTAAGTGGGCTGTTGAGGTGGACCAGCTATTCCCATTGTAGTTACAATCTCAGCCGCTCCTAAACAAGTTATAGAGAACGTCTGGCTGTTGTGTCTTACTGGAGTTAGGGAGAAAATGATTGACTCTAACTCCAAATTTACTGGATGTTATTATAATTGTTACATAATAAATTAGTGTTAAATTATTGTTGTTGGGTTAGGGTTTTTTATTATATGACTCTTCTTTGTGGAGTTGAGCTAAAATTAGCCACTATAAGCCTCTGGTCATACAAGACCAACTAATCCTGGTGCAGCCAAACCAAACCAAAAGTGTATTGATTGAATAACAGTATGCTGCTTTGTTGCTTACGAGTCAACTGAGCAACAGCAGAAAAAGGCTGGTTTAATGAAAACACAGCACTCTTCAAAGAGATATTTGAAACTGCATTACAGTAGTCTAGTTTAGTTTTTACTATTGATTATCATTATTATTTGTATTGAATAATTTGGATCAGAAAAACTCCGTAACAAGCTGAAACACACACACCTCTGCCCTATAATCACCTTACAAGGTGTTTTCAGTTAACAGACATTGGCTTTTTTAAACATCCAGCAGACACAGAGCAACCTTAGCATTCATTTATAATGCGTTTCCGGCCACCGGACAAATGTTAGTCAAATATTCACTGCTTTTTTTTCTTTTTTTTCATCAAATTCTGAGTAAAAAATTCTGTCTCTTTAGTGGTTAAAAGCTCCACTATGTTTAACTGCTAGTCACTAATTTAGTCTGTTTCCAATTTGGTGCTAACCTGGAAATCCAGATGCCCCGCCCCCAGCAAATTCAAATTTGCAGTGCACAGGGATCTGGCCCCGACGAGCAGAGCCCGCTAAATCACCTATCGGACCGATCAGATCAGTCTATCTGACAGAGGCGGGCTCTGGGCGGGCGTAACACGATGAGGACAGTGCTGCGCCGTAGGAGTCGAAAAGTAAACAGCCAAGATGGCAGCTGCCGAAGGGCCGCATCCATTCAGTTCAGCTTTGCAAGAAACGCTAAGCCAACTACACTTATCTTTTTTTCCTTGAGAGAGGAACAGAAGACTGCCCTAGAAGCCTTCACTTCCAGGAAGGACGTTTTGCCGTTTTGCCGACGGGATACGGCAAAAGCATAATATCAGTTATCCCCCACTGGTCGGCAGACAAATAGGGCTTAGTGCAATGAATATGTCACCTTGTTTTTTACTCTGATTGGCCATCATGCTATCCAGTTGCGTGCAGCTGCATTTTATATGCCTCAGTTAGTGCCGTCCCTTGGGTAGGAAGGGTGTATCGTGAGGGCCAGACTCAGAATCTTTTTAGATTTGAGTCTGGATTTCCAGGCTAGTTTGGTGCTGCAAAACTTGAAAACTTACTAGCCGCTCAACCAAAACTAAGAGCTAACAGAGGCTATAAAGCGATGTAAAGCTACATTAAAGTTGTCCCTCCTAACCCCTTCTTTAATGAAAGCAACAATGCCAAACCAGGCATGCCTTTAAAATGAACGCCTTCATACACAAAGACGATACAGGAGCTTCTCTTCTGGAACGCAACTTTATTTCGACTTGTTTTGCTCATTTTCTCCCTTTCCTCCACCTCATCTCTGCCTCCCCTCAGAGACGCCCATCCAGACACACACACACCACATATCTGACTTTCTCCGTTGGGAAGCTGTTAAATGGGCATATCCGGTTCCCTCCCCAGGGAGCGTACAGTGAAGGAGCAAGCTGGGTAGCAGTGAGAGGTGGAGGCTAGTACTTAGCAGGCTGTCGAGGAGCCCCAGCAGCCACCCAGCACTGCTGTGATGGGAGCTGTCTGAGGGGACTTGTTACCGCAGCAGCTCACGGCGCTGTCTGTGTTCAGAGGGTTGGCGAATAATTGGAGTCTGAGCATACGAGCAGGTGTGTTGTGTCTTGTGCTGTTTGAATTATTGTGCTTCAAGGTGTTGAGGGGTCTCTCCCACAAATGTTGTGGCATGGCAGCAGTAATTAGACTGTCGGGCACGGGTACAGACATTTACACCGGTCATGTTAGAAACAGTATATTTGATTTATTCTTATTAGTTTAATTCATTTTAGTGAAACAAAAAGTCAAGGAGAAGGTTTTTAAAAATGTGCTTCTAATAAAACTGCAGCAGTTCATTACAGTGAGAATATACTCTAAACCACAAACAGAAACTGCCCATCAGAGAAATTACAGCATTGTGTGTATGTGTGTGTGTGTGTGTGTGTGTGTGTGTGTGTGTAGCACGTCGACAGGGATTGCTCGAGGAGATTATTCACAACTTGGACTACTGTGACATCCTGGTGTTGGGGGAGGAGCTGAGGCCAGACGAGGAGTCCCTCCAACTGCAGCGCAGCGCTCTACTTGGAAAACACCTGGACGCCACTAACTCCACCTCTGGCATGTCCATATATGGTAGGTTACTATGGTAACAGCACCAAATCTGCTAGTGATGTGTTCTTAGCTGGTTAGCATGATAACATCATCGCTGCTATTGCAACAACAGCTTCTCTCTCTTTGACACGTCCATAGATTTACTTAAAGCTTCCATGTCTAAAAGTTGTTTCTATCCTCCAACTTTCCACTTGTCTTTTTCTGCGTGTAACAACTACAACAACACTCTGCTGCATCTTCCCACAGGGGTGGACTCCATGTCCAACTATGAACAGGTGATCCGACAGGTGCGCTACTATAACTGGCAGCCCGGACAGCTCACAGAGAGAAGGTTCCGCCTCACCTGCTCGGAGCTCAACGGACGCTACACCAGCAACGAGTTCAACCTGGAGGTCAGTGTGAGCTACGGCTTGACTGATGTGATGTAAATTAATAATTTCTTTCTTTATTCACTGGTTCCAGCTGTCCAGCTATCTGAGTATCTTTGGGTATTGCTTTAACTATCGGTCCGTAAAACAAGCCATTTGAAGATGTTGGCCAAGGCTCTGGAAAATTCTGCATTTCTTTTAAACTACTTTATGACATTTTATAAATTAATGGAGAAAAAAATCTGTGAATTAAACCAATAATGAAAATAACTGTTCATCCAGCTTAATACAATTGTCCTCAGCACTTTCAGTTGTCAGATTACATAATATGTGTAGAAATAAAGATGGCAGACTGAACCTACGTGGATTATAGGTGGCCTCACCACCTCTCCTACATAGGAGCAATATATGATATATATATATATATAGATATATAGATATATAGATATATATAGATATAGATATTATATTTGGGTTTTTGTTAGTTTGTTTGTTTGTTTGGGGGAGGTCTTTTTGTTTATCTTTGTAGTTGTTATACGTCTCTTTAAATTAATTTTGTGCCTGTTCAGGAATGTTTTTATGATAGGTTTTTTTTTTTTTTTAATCTCTATAAAGTCGTTTTGTGTATTTTTTAGGCATATTTGTTTCATGTTTGGTCATTTTGTTTATCTTAGTAGTTGTTCTGTATCACATTAAAGCCATTTTTGTGTCTCTTCTGTGCAAATTTGGTTCATGTTTGGTCGTGCTGTTTACCTAAGTAGTTGTTTTTATTGTCTCTTTGAAGTCGTTTTGTGTCTCTTCTAGGCATGTTTGTGTCATGTTTAGTCATTTTGTTTATCTTTACCTCCGCCAAGGAGGTTATGTTTTTGCAGTTGTTTGTTTGTTTGTCTGCAAAATAACTCGAAAAGTTCTGAACGGATTTTGATGAAATTTTCAGGAAAGGTTGATAATGGGACAAGGAACAGATGATACAATTTTGGTGGTGATCAGTCGAAGCAAAGTGGATGAAATAATGAAATGGCGGGAAATCCGAGCTGCTTGGTGGAGGTCCGCTCTCTCCGAGTGCTCTAGTTGCAGCTGTTTTGTGTCTCTTTGAAGTCATTTTGTGTCTCTTTTAGGCATGTTTGTGTCATGTTTGGTCATTTTGTTTATCTTAGTAGTTGTTTTGTGTCTCTTTGAAGTCATTTTCTGTCTCTTTTAGGCGTATTTGTGTGATGTTTGCTCATTTTGTTGAGGATTGTAGTTGTTTTGTGTTTCTTTTGGGCGTATTTGTGTCATTGTTGTAGTTCTGTTTACCTTAGTTGTTGTTTTTTGTCTCTTTGAAGTCATTTTGTGTCTCTTTTAGATATAGTTGTATAATGTTTGGTCATTTTGTTTATCTTTGTAGTCCTTTTGTGTCTCTTTGGGGTCATTTTGTGTCTCTTTTAGGCATGTTTGTGTCATGTTTGGTCATTTTGTTTATCTTAGTAGTTGTTTTGTGTCTCTTTGAAGTCATTTTGTATCTCTTTTAGATATATTTGTGTCATGTTTGGTCATTTTGTTTACCTAACTAGTTGTTTTGTGTCTCCTTGAAGTCATTTTGTGCTTCTTTGAGGCATATTTGTGCCATATTTGTCCTTTGGTTTATCTTAGTAGTTGTTTTGTGTCTCTTTGAAGTCATTTTGTGTGTCTATGAGGCATATTTGCGTCTTTTTTAACCATTTTGTATCCTTTTGTGGTTGTTTTGTGTCACTTAGTAGTTCCTTTGCATCTCTTTGTCATCATTTTGAGTCTCAAACTGGTCAATAAATGTTAATTCAAGTGACATTTTGCAGGTGAAGGCCAGGGGGCTGCTGATACTTTGAGTCCCTGGGTCTGTGCCCCGTACTGTTCAGTTATCCATCCATGGTTTCAAGCATTCCTATAAGGAGTGACAATTGAAGCAAATATCCCTGGAGCTGACAGGCAGCTCCAAAATAACAGATGACATTGCACTTAATTTGCAAAAATGAAGCTATTTTTAAAAATCATTAATATTGCTTGTGATAGTCAGCGATAGTTCAGTAACGGCAAGTTGTCAGTAGAGACAATGCTGCGTCTTACAACCAGCTGGACCTGCTTGAGATGGCAAAGAGCTGACTCAGCCCAGACGTCTGGCAACACTTTTATTTCCACACTCAAGCTCAGTTTAATGGAAACCTTATAGAAACTCTGGTTATGACCAGCCTTGATAATATGAACCTCCCAGTTAAAATGTGCTCTTTAAATTCTGCACCTTTAGATTTTGGGGCACGAGTACACCTTAAACAGCAGCTAGACACACAGACACAGCCTGGTTCAACACATCAATAAAAAGGCACACTGCATCAATGAACACTAAATCAGGCTTCTCACGTACACCTGTTTTACACCGTTCTTACTTGACGATGTGCCAAAATCAGCTCAACATGGCCACAGTTTGTTTCTGTCCCTGGTCTGAACACTATTTGACTTATTCATACAGTCTTTGGTGTTTATTGGAGAGAACACAATGTTTCACTAGACACAGTTGGAACCTTGGAGGGTGTCTGTGAATCTAGTTTACATTTAATTTCCTGTATTGAGCTGACCCTGTCCCCAAAAGGCATAAATAGATTGCATTACATCCCCATTTCTCCTGGCCTCTCTCTAAAATCTTTACTTTATTCTGCCCCCACTATATAATGTGGATGAGTAAAGGCTAGTTTAGGCATACAGACGGGAGACAGTGGGACAAATTGTAAAATATATCTCAACAAATCATCACTTCTGCTTCATCTGTTCCCAACCAGGTGAGCGTACTGCACAGTTCGGAGTCAGGGGAGCATGTCAATCACATGATAGCCCCGCCTCAGTACATGCAAGTGGTCCACCACCCATCTATGATTCATGACCTGTACCCCAGCCACGGCTCAGGTAGGAAAACACTCTCTAATTCCTTTGTAAACAATTGTGTTAGATTAATTTTGTCCTTTCTTATTTCATTTGTTCCATCCTTATCTCCTGGCATATTAATATCCCACCCTGTCAGGTCAGATCACATCACATTACACTGAGATACAGTATACAGAGCTACAGAGGAGTGAGGTAGCAATGTTTAACAGTCTATAGCAGAGGTTCGCAAAGGCCGCTTAATCAGTTCCTCCAGGATGTGGTAAGCATGCAGTTTTGCCCAGTCACCCCAGCTTTACTACAGATTTGACTATTTAAAACAGTAAATTCTGATTTCATTGTAGATCTGTGTGCAGTTTATTGATTCTTTTTATCTCTATCATGAGAGTACCCTGGGACAGTTCTGTCAGGGCTAACTTTAGCATCACACACCTAACATTACCCAGTGGTTATTAACAGGTTTAATGACAGAGTCGAGCCATTTTGGTGTCAGTATGAGATTAATGGGACCATCTAATAGCTCGCTGTTAGATGTTATCTGCTGATGGTCCTTAAACACTGCATCAAACAGCAGTAACAGCCCCTCCCACCATCACAGTTAGATTCTAAGTCTGTGGGAAACACTAATAGGCTCAGAATCTGAGACAGCGCAGCAACTAATTATGCAATTTTCACCTGTCCTCGCAATTTCATTTCAAAAAGCATCTAAAAACAGCATGACGTGCATTGCAAATCAGACATTTCGGGCCACAACAGTCCCAAAACCAGCCTGCGAGATCCTGGAGGGACGGCATGACAAACTTCCACAGGTTCATGTCAAAGGTTCATATAGTTCGTGGATTAAGTGACTGATTGACACAAAGCCCCAGAACCATAGTCACAAACACTGGATATTAATGATAAGAAGAAGCGATGGCTAGGTGGAGACACAAGTCCTTTTTAGATAGGAATTTTGCAAATTTCTAGGAAAGCCCAATCAATCTTCTTTCAGCATTGGAAGTATAAAAACAAAATCAGGGAGTGCAGCAAAATGCCGCCTACCTACTTTTGTTTATACAGAATGTGTCTTTTCGGGGCAATGGGGGTCATGAGCAAGTAACAAAACGTGTAGCTCAGCGTGTGACGTAAACAGTGACGTGGGAGGGAAGCTGCGTCTGGTCAGTCCTTCGGTGATTCTCTCATAAGTCGGCCCGTTCTTCATCATTCCCGTCATCTGACGGTTAATGGCCTCTTCGTTTGCGAGGGCAAGGAGGACATGCAATTCCTTGTCTCCCCAGTTACTAATCTTTACAGTGTCTGTCAGGTTTGTGTTTCCCTCTTGCTACTAACTGCTCGCTAATTCCTGCTATCAGCTGTTTCCTGTTCATCCACCGCCAGTGGGTCGCACGTGTCATCAAAAGCTCCTCCCACAAGTCATCAACAATCCCTCCCGTTGCAGAGGGCCACCTCGGTCTGTTTAAACCAAAAAGGGTTCCGCCAATATGTCTACCCCACGAGGCAGAAAATTGGGCACCTCAGATCAACTCGCCAATCTGGCTCTGTGTGTCTAAACGCTCGCAGCTTGCCGGCAAAACGGCCCAACATCCGCCGAAAATCTGACAGTGTAAAAGGGGCTTTTGAAGTGTTGCATGCCATCAAAGGGGGAAATGCGACAAGGAAATATGTCAAAGTGCAGGACTGTCATGCACAGTTTAGCAGTATAAATGAAGCGTTAGCTACCTTGCTAGTTAGCTACCGAAACATGAGCGTACTTAGTTTTTTGTCGTGCCTGTCATAAAGAAAAATACCATAATGCATTGAAAAGACATTAAAGCAAGATAATAAGATGGTTATCGTAATTTCTAGATCTTTATTAACTAAGAAAATACATAGTGGGGTTCTTTTGTTGCTAGTGCAGCCATCTCGCCGATAATTTTTCACAACAGTCCGTTTGAAATGTGTCCCTGTACACCCTCAGCTGTAGCCCTAACACTTTGCCCTACCCCTTTATCCCAAAAAGAATGGGGACACCCTCCCCTCAGATGTGAACATGCAAAAAAGAGCAGTATGGACTCAGTTGTAGATGCAAGGGGTGTGTTGGGATTAAGCCTTAATGTGACTAAATGTACGAGACGATTTCACAAAACACTGATGGGCACTTGGACACCTTCAAGGACGGGTGGAGAAGTGCTGAGGATCAGACCCAGGAGCTTCTCGCTAACCACTGAGCCACAGCTGTAGAAGAAATGAGCCTGGAAAGAGTGTTTATGTCAGCTATCCATCCCGGGGTAAACACGTCTGAGATCCAAGGGAACATTCGGTTTCGCTTTCTAGTTTGTTTATGGTTCTGTTCATCTGACTGCTGCTCAGTGATAGGGAGCAGCCGAAAGAGGGGCCCCTCTCAAATGATGCAGCGGGGTTATTCCCCTCCCTCGGTGCATATGAGTGATCTAAAGTAAAGAGAACATGGTGAGGAGGAGAGACATTGGTCTTAATCTACCACACTGGATTTAATTATTCATCAGACTTTAATGGATTCTACTTAGAGTCCTGGAGAGCTCAGTGGCCAATGCTGTTAACAGCCCTGAGAGTTGTGTGTGTGTGTGTGTGTGTGTGTGTGTGTGTGTGTGGGTGGGTGCATGCCTGCCTGCGTGAAAAACATAGATTTGTAGTTGTAGCTTCAGCCGTGGCATGTTTGTAGCACGTGAATGTTTCAGATGATATAATTCTATATGTAGAGTACAAAGTCAAAGAAAATGTCAGTGTGTGTGTGTGTGTGTGTGTGTGTGTGTGTGTGCGCATTTACACTCACCCAAGTTACTCTAAGGGGCTGCATGAAGCTTCACTGCGAGGAAGATCAAAGGCCGTGGATTTAGTGTGAAAATCTAGGGAACTAGACTGAATCAAATGATCATCTGAAGAGTCCTCTGTGAGTCTCACTCTTGTTAAACACACACTCACACACACACACACACACACACACACCAGCAGGGACTAGTGGAGAGAGGGCAAGCACAGAGAAGTCGTGTTATTTCAGTAGGCTGGAGATCAGAGCAGAGGAGAGAAGCATTTTAGATCAAGAGAAATCCCTCAATGTGTGTTGTGGTTATGCTGCTAAATAGGGCTTATGATACATCACTGCAGCCATGTACTTTTTTTTTTTGTTTGTTTGTTTTTTAAACAATCTGTAAGTTAAGGGAAACTTAAAGGGACAGTCCACCCCAAAATTAAAAAAAAAAAAAAAAACATGTTATATTTTAGCGCAATTTGTCAATCTGGTTTGCTTTGGTGCGAGTTGCCGAGTGTTGGTGCTATCAGCCGTAGAGATGTCTGCCTTTTCTCAAATATAATGTATCTACACAGCACTTGGACTGTGATGCTAAAAGTCCCCAAAAAGAGCAGTGTCTCTTTCCAGAAATCATGACCCAGTTACTCTAGATAATTCACAGAGCAGTTTCATGTAGGAACTATTTTCTTTCTACCAAACTACAGCCGCTAACCTTATCACTGCGTAGACAGAAAGGTACACCAGTGGTCAAAGTTTTCGCCTGATAACAGAAAAGTCAGGGCATCACTGAAGTTATTACAATTCGTCCTGAGTGGGACATAACTGTTTGAACAACCTTTCATGGCAGTCGATCAATAGCTGTTGAGGTATTTCAGTCTGGACCAAAGTGATGGACAGACAGGCAGACTGACAGACTGACTGACATCGCTATCCCAAGAGCCACACCGCAGGTATTGATCAGTGTGGGGATAAAAATACACTGAAAACAGGCCAAAAAGTAAAATTACAGTATCAGAAAAATCAATAAGCTGTCACAACAATAATTAAAGATCGCAATCATCGTCCTGTTTAAAGTTTAAAAAGGCCTTTTGTACGATAACATGAGAAAAACATATTCAAAAAATCAATAGGGTATCACAAAAGGCGATCAATATCCAGGGTGCCAGATAACCACAACAACAGCTGAAGGGAAGCCTCAGCTTCAGCAAGAAAAAGAAAAGAACAATGATTCATCTATAGCCGGGCTGGAGAGCGTGTGTTGCGACTGGGTGTGGAGTGTGAAAGACATGGGCAGGGATGGAAAGATGCCGCTGAGTTGCATTATGGGATGTGTAGTACCCCTTCTCCTGCTCCTTGTCATGGACTAATTCAGGATATATCAGCCTCTGCTGCTGTTTTTTGTTTTGGTTTTTTTTCTTTAAATTTGCCTTTTGCACATTCCCCAACTGCCTCATGGTTAAAGGGCAATACTAGATTACTGGAGTTTGTCTTTTAAGGAACAGTGTGTAGGATTTAGTGTCACCAAACAGTGAGGATTGCAGATTGCAACCAGATGAAATTTCTGTGTTCATTGTTCATGATGTTTTTACTGAGCTGAATTATCCACAGAGGTCTCTCTTTCTCCCCAGAACAAACAGACTGGGTGATTAAATCTGGTAAAAACATTGAATAAAGCAGTTTCACATTACAGTTATGTTACAGTTTAAGCATCGTTCTCCAATGCTCTTTGGCTTGTTGCAGACAGGCCACTTGCAAAGCACCTGCTACTCTGGGTTCACCTTTTGTCTTTGATAACTTAAAATCCAGATGTGCAGAAGGTTTTTAACCAGGAGGCGAATTATCTGCAGAGGTCTCCTCCTCTTTAAAACAAACAGACCAGGTGATTTAAACTGCTAGAAACACTGAGTAAAGCAGTTTCACGTTACAAATCAGTATTTTCAGATGCTGTTTGGCTTGTCGTGGAGGGGCTGCGAACTAAAGTGGCCGATGTGGGAACGTAAATGGTTCTATCTATAGCTAGTGTTTGGTCAACACATTCTCACTCCGATCTCGTAACATATCAACATTTGCTCATGGACTTTTCACGTCCAGATACGAAGTGAAAAGTACCCTGGGTGCGTTGGTTGTTGACGTTCTGGGAAACCGTGTCAACTTCAGCCTGTTACATGCATTGTCTTCTTTGAATATACACTTCCGTTTTTTACAGGAAATATACCGTTTACATACAGTCTCTTTGAAACTAACCGCACTAGGCCGGTACATACAACAATGCAAACTGATGTGTTTTTTGCGCCAACATCTAAAGCACGTGGTTGGGTTTAGGAAAAAAGAACAGGGTTTGGCTTTAGAATCTTACGCGATGCGAATACCGCTCTCCCAGGTGAAAGCCTGTGTTTGTTGGATACATCTACCACCCCTCCAGCCTGCCCCACTCAGACTTTCGCCACCTTAACTTTAGTTCTTGTCTCGTCACGTTTCCCCCTGAATCCGCCAAGCACCATTTAACTACAGTATAACAACAACTGGCTGCATATCATGCCGATGTTAAAGGACAGCTTTTTTTGTTGGTGTCTGACGCCGCAAGTCACTGCCCAAGCACCGGATCTTGACAATTTAGGAGTGAGGCCGCGTCGGTTTGGTTTGTCCGTTTTAGGCAGTGCAACATGGTGGACTGAGTGGATTAGAACCTGCTCCCTATGTAGATATAAACAGCTGATTCTAAGGTAACAACAACATAACAAATCTTATTTTAAGGGGATTATTCCATTTATGTCAATATGTCATCCTAAATCCTACACACTGGACCTTAACGTATGTGAAAAGTGTGAATCCAAACACACATGTTCCAACAAAATAATTCTTACCTAGTGAACGTCTTCTGACCAAAATACTTTTTAAAAAATGAACTGAATAGAGGTCGACAATGTGGTGGATATTAATGAAAGCATATGGAGTGACTCAAGCAACAGTCCATTCCATTTCTCTTACTCTCACTCTCTCACTCTTGTCGTCCTCAGCCATGCCGAGTGCCGCCACCGTGGTAATTGTGATGTGTATCGCTGCTCTGGTGGTGGTTGTGGTGCTGGGCATCTATCGCATCCACCTGACCCACCAGCAGGAGGTCAAGCTGGCAGAGACGGCTAAAGAGGCGGACGTGACCTGGGACGACTCGGCTCTGACGATCACTGTTAACCCGATGGAGGTAGGAGGGCGGGGACTGGGAGGAGTGTGGAAGGATGCTGTCAGGGCGGGGAATATGACAGATTAGGGGATAACTAAAAAGCATTAGTGACTGGAATATCTCCAAGAGAAAAATAGATATCCTCATGCTCTGCTCTCACATTTATCTGGAGATATTATAATTTATTACTATTAATACTCATTTCTGATCATTTAGTTTCTGAAACACTGAATATTTCTCACCACAGAACCTGGAGGAGCCCCAGGCTGCAGAGGAGGAGGCCAGCGAGGAGGAGGAGGAGGAGGAGGAGGAGGAAGAAGAGGAGGAGGAGGAGGAGGAGGAAGACGAAGAGGAGGAAGAGGATGACATCACCAGCGCTGAGTCAGACGACAGCGAGGAGGAAGTGGACGTCCAGCTACCCAGGATGCAACGCCTGAGCAAGAGGGGCCAAAACTGGGACAAAACAACGATATCTTATTGAAACACACACTCACAGTCACTCACATGCACACACACATTCTGCAGCACGTCCATACTGAAACCTCAAATCAGATGGTTGAAACAAAAAGACTTTATGTGATGTTGATGCTCTAAAAATGAGGTTATACCCCCCCCTACTGGAAGACTCCACTGAAATGCAAACAGTGCAATGATTTAACCTTAGCCTTGTCAGAAAACCTCCCATTTTCTACAGCTGATAAGAAATAATACGACACTAAAACTGCTCGTCAATCAAAAGCCTTTCATCTGTCTTAAAGGGACAGCTCGCCAAATTTCGGGCATCCCCTGAGAGCTGTCTTTCATCGAGTTATCTCTCTCCCATTACAGTCTGCACCACAACTACGATCCTTAGAGAAATAGAGTTGTTTGAATCTCATTATGTCGATGAATCCCTGCACCATACATTCAGTTTGTGTCACATGTGTTCCACAGTGAGATTTCTGATGTCCCATGAAAATGCAAAACAGTCTTTATTTAAGAAAACTGAGTTGCAAAAGTAAAGAAACTGACTATTTTTGGTTTGTATACTTCATGTTATTTATCAGTCTTTATTCTAGCCTACGCGGCAAAGCCAGGTGATTTTACAGAAATAGCATATTTTCAATGGTACTCAAAAACAACAAAAAAAAAAAAGATGATCTGTGTGTAGTCATGGTGAACTAGCCGAGGGGTCTGAGTTCTGGGTTTTTGGGAAAGACAGAGGAGTCTCCTTGTAAATTTTTATACGCTCCTTTCTTGTAAATATTGAGTATAGTAGGTGACCCCCCCCCCCCCCGACCCTCCCCCCCCCCCCCCCCCCCCCCCCCCCCCCCCCCCCCCCCCCCCCCCCCCCCCCCCCCCCCCCGACCCTCACCTCCAGCCCCACCCCACTCCCTAACACGGATTTCTCCACCCAGAGACCCTCTTCTCCACCTGTATACAGCACACATGCCACCTCGTCATATGTATGTACAAACCCTGAGCCGTCAGCCTGCAGGAGTCACCACTGAACTGACCCCTCGGTCCTCTGTGTGTGTTTCAGGTCATTCCAGCTGACTGTACGTTGGGTTTGTTAGGAAGGATGTGCCACTGCCTTCATAGTGACTGGTGCGCTAGGCAAGGTGTTGATAGGAAGAGGCACCGGTCTGATGTGCCTAAATCACATGCGACAGAAAGTCCTCTCACTGCTCATTGATAGTCCACAAGAGTTGCCCAAATTAAACCTTAAGGCCCAGACACACCAAGCCGTCATCAAAGAACTAGCAGCAATGAAAGCCAACTGTTGCATCGCCTCATGCCACCTGTGTTGGCCAAAAAATTGCACTTAAACATACTGCAGAGTCTACAGTTGATGGTCAGCTAGCATGTGCGTTCTGTGCCTGCATGAAAGGAAATAACTCTCCACACCAGCAGGCAGTGGTAGTCTGTATTCGTCATTAAAAAAGGAAACCAGAAGGCCAACAAGACAGATTAAAGATGCTAGTTAGCCAGCTAGCACATTAACAATAAAACCTGATGAAGAAAGGACAAATTCTATTTATTGTGCACTAGCAATTAATAATACTAACAATTGCAAACCATGGCTGGAAAAAAATCTTGCTTTATATGACACGTTTGTTTCAATCACACACCCTCTTGACTTTAGCCATTTGTTTACTTTCCTCACTTTCAGTTCTTTTCTTGTGCACTGAGTTGAACTGCCAGTCAGAGTGATTTTATTCACCAACGAGCTCCACTATCTCTGACATCAATTCAACATGCTGAATCAGCCGAAAAAAGCCACAATGGCCGCCTAGTGTCAATGCTGCCGGACACACAACACAAAAATGAGGGCAACAGACGCTCACTGACGTCCTAACATAAACTGATTGCCGACTGCCGGCTTGGTGTGTCAGGGCCCTTCGTCTCAGGTGTGGTCATAGCAGTGAAAGCCTAAATAACAAGTACTCATTAAACGAAAGCTACACTAATTAACCACTATCTTACTCCTACTAGTCATTAATGCTGCATTGACGAGTGAGAAATTCCAAATTTCTAAAGGGAAAAGTGCAAAGAAACTGCCCCGTGACACTGGAGTTTCAAAACAGAAAATCAATAAATGCAAATATCAACATGAGAGCCTGCCTGGCTAATACTGGATTTTTTTTAAGGCCAATCCCAACATCCTTGTTTGACTCTTAAATAACATATTTACATTTACAATTACATACTTTTTTTTAATTTTTAATTTTTATTTTACATTTTGTTTTTTTTTATGTAGAAATATATTATAAATGTATGATTTTTTTTTATGAGGATTCTGTAAATTTGTTTACCAAAAATATATATAATATAATATAGAATATGTACTGAGTGGAACATTTTATGGTTAAAAAATAAATAAATAAATACAATGAAATATTAAAGTCAATATTAAGGCTCAAATATGCAAAAAAAATATCAGCCTATATTTATTTTTTCTGATTCATCAAATAAGAACTATAGTAAAGTATGTAGAAATATTATAAATTAACATTTTAGCTGCACTAATTGATATTTTTATATTAACAGTGGATCAAATGACTACATATAAAATGCAGTGTCACATGAAGTGATGAACCCACAGAGACTCTGTAGCTCTGCAGAGCCTTTTATGGTCTTTCAGCTTATAGTTTTGGTTTTACAACTCGCAGCTTGTGTTGTGGTTCGGCCTCTTATCAGTCTGTTTACCAGTCGCTCTGATAAACCCACTGGACGCTACCTGCTCAGCACCAAACAACAAACATTATGAACATTTAGCAGCTCCATAGCATTTAGCAGCTATGGAGGTTCTTTTTTCTATCAAAACAGAGATTAAAGGGAAGTCAATATTGGGCTTACAATCATCAGGTGGCCAGAAACCAACACAATCGGCTGAAAAATGTTGGCATTGTACATTTCTGCAAACCACAGATTCAAAACACCCGTGTTTGGTGCCTGAAAACAGATGGAAACACAGCCCGCTAAATCACAACTGCTTTTGCTGTTTCTTGGTCTCAAACAGTGGTCACCAAGGTGAGACAGCTTGGCAAGCGTCTTGCCTTGGTGTCACTCCATCCATCATCCCCTCCACCTCCAGATGACAAACTCAGCTCTATACTACGTCACTTTAGAAGTGTTAATATAATGCGAAGAAACGTGCAAATGTAACATACTCATAGTTTGCAGAAATGTATAATGCCAATATTTTCTTCTGGTGATTGGGCTGCCAGGAATACAACTCTATAGGGTGCACTTTACATGCTAAACATCATCTTCCTAAAATACACTTTTTGTGATTTTCATGATAATAGTCGGCTCCCAACTGGTCCAGCCATGTGGTCCAGATTTCTCCTTAGTCATTGGTTCAAGGTCCACACTTGAACATATTCAGTGTCATACTTATTTGGCCATTTCTTTGAGCTCATTTGCTGTCTCTGTGATGTAGCTGTCTTTAGTCACTCACTCACTCAACAGTTGGAAACAGCACTTCAAAATAAAAGCTCTATGTCAGAAGTCCACTGTACTTAAAAATAAAGTGTGTTTTTTACAAAAGACATGTTTAGGAGTCACATGCAGTCCATTCAGAATAGGACCCACTTTTGGACCATGACCCACCAGTTGGGAACCACTGGCCTTCACTGTAAGTAGCTAGCTTATGCTGCCAAATATCACTGACAAAATAAGCGTTCCCATGTGGAAAAATACTGAGCAAACAAAACCTTCCTGTGTTTTCCGCCAAGAATGCAGAGACTTTACACATTCCCCTCCAGAAACTTCCCCAACCTGTAACTCTGAGTGAAATGCAGCATTAATGACAGAGACGCAGGTCTCAGGACAGAGAGGCGAAGGCATTTGGCAGTGTCACATTTGACGTAATCACAAAACCCAGTCGAAGGTTTCCTCACCTTGAAGTGAAAGGGCATTAATCTCTGGCTGCTGCCATCCCGAATCCAGTCCGTATGTAACGTATGATAGCAAAGACTCCACAAACAACAGAAGGTTTAGTTACATGTGACATGTGTAGTGGCTGAAGTCTGCCACAGATAAATCAAGGTTTGGTTAAAGTCACAAACACTGGAAAGTTTCCCCGTCCTACCTAGTGAACCTCTGACAGCTGCTGTCCTGTGGGTGTAGCTGGGAGAACCTATTGTATGTGTATACTGTAGCTCTATGTTCATGTAAAGATCTCATATGTTGTTTAAGAGTTTTCCTCATCTACTGTGACACCTGTTCTTGTGACGTCACCTCCCTCCTTGCACCCTCCCCTTTCCCCACTGGAACCTTTGGTGGATTTTGCATCGGCCCGAGCCCTAATGTTGTCCTGACGTTTGTTTTAGAAGAGGAGGATGGTGAAATTAACATGGATACCTTGTATAATGTGTAAAAGTTTTTTTTTTAGTTTTCCTTTTCTTTTTTTCTGGACTTTTTTGGTCTGTTTTTCTTTGGAATGGTCACTACAGCACTTTCTGTAAATTGACCAATAAAAACTTGTTTTGGAATCTAGCTGTGGGTCTCGCTGATTGTGTGGGTGTTTCTGCTGACCTGGAGCTTTCTCGCAGGCTTGAGATTTCTTTCAGTCAGTGCTGCATTATTCCTGTAACTACAATTTAATCTTCAGTCCTTTATCTGATTAACAAAGTTTAGAATCTCATTATGAAAGTGAGAAAACTGCAATCAGTGTGGAATTAATGTGTGCAGCCTGATGCCAGTTATTTAGACAGGAATCACAGTTATGTTTTGAACATAACGGAAGCTAAAAAATCCCTTTATTGTGAATATTGTGTCAAAAATATTCTCTTTAAACTTGAAGAAAGATTGTCAGTACTGCTGTTAAATTATGATACACTCTATTTGCAGCAGTATTAGATTTTAATCAAAGCCACAGCCAATTTTAAAAATTTCTCCAGACATTAATTTCACTGAATTCAATCATCCATTCACTCTCTCAACTATTTCTCCTCAGCAGGGGAAGGTGCGGCACTGATCCCCACTGGATTACTCTTTATTCTTTTATCAAAGACTCAGTACTGTATGAAATAGGCCACACATGCTTTTTTTTTTAACAAGTATCCTTAACAGTATGCTCATTCTTGCTTCTGCACAGAGATCCTACAGTTCTCAACGGGGTATCCAATCATTTCTGTTTGTGTCAGTTTTATTGTTAGTTCTTTCATTCATTCATTTTTGTAACCGCTTATCCTGTTGGGGGTCACACAGGGGTTGGAGCCTATCCCAGCTGACACCGGGTGAGAGGCAGGGTTCAACCTGAACAGGTCACCAGACTATCACAGGGCTGACACATAGAGACAGACAACCATTCACACTCACATTCACACCTACGGACAATTTAGAGTCACCAATTAACCTGCATGTCTTTGGACTGTGGGAGGAAGCTGGAGCACCTGGAGGAAACCCACGCTGACACAGGGAGAACATGCAGGGTCCACACAGAGGGGTTTGAACCTGAGGTAGGGGTTTAGTTTAGTTTAGTTTAGTTTAGATTAATTTAGTTTAGTTAATTACTCTCATTCCCACTACAACCAAAGTTTTTTCTGCACATTACACTAAACTTGCACATATTTAACACAGTTTGCATGTTTCTATCTGCATATATGCATCTACTGTATGTAACCTCCTTTTAAATATAACTTAGTTTTCTTTTTTATTTCTTCCTTTACTGGTACTTTTACACACTTTGTTCTGTTCTAATTCAAATGTTTATATTAGAATAGAATAAAACAATATATATTTAATCTTGTGGGCTGGATTCTTAACTGTTACTTAAGAGATTAT